ACTTTCTCGGAGTTTACGTGCGAAATTTAATTTTAAATTTGCCACGAGCTTTTCGGTGAAGGAAAACGTCGCGGTGAAACGCGCACGTCGAAGAAGGGTCACAACCCTCGGGAAACGTGTCAAGTCTCAAACTCGCATTGTTCCAGCTCGGCGGACTGTGGCCTAAAACCCTCACCTGAGAGGAGACCCATGATCAGCAGTGGGACGTACAAATGGATTGATGATGATGACCTTCAACGGTTTAAATAAATCATAGCACAGTTAATTGTCCTTTATCTTTTAACGGTCGTGTTATTTGTATACTAAGTTAGTTCGCTAAACGTTTGGCTACTCTGTTAAATTAGCCGTTTGATTTTCCTTCGGATCGCAAGAAGTAAACACGTGTCGCGGGTGACAGCTTATCGCCCGACGACATGTCGACGACGACGGGACGACTACGTGACCAATTGACTACACAATTGTTTACTACTAGAACGATGTTTGCGCAACGATTGGATACGTATTTATATAACTGTAACATGCTCAAAGAATCACATTTATTTTAAATTGTAATTGCAAGGGCTAAAAATTATGAAGGCTCTAATGCGATGTAAGGCACAATAGAATAGAATATAATGGAATCTGAATTGCATTTGTGTTGCTTGGTCTTACTCTCGACAAGTTCCCGCAGTTTGAGATTGAGAACGAAAATTCAACACCACTTAAAATATAAATATAAAATTTGTGCGAGTTCGCCGGTTGCGTGTTTCGGAAATTTCAAATGGACAAATGTGTTACTTATATCGAGTTCTTAGGTTTTCGCGATTGTTAAACATAGGAAATGAAACTATTTTTCCGGATTTAAATCGCGTATATTAGTTTTTTTCAAACAAACCAACGTTTCGGGCCCTTTACAGGGCCCAAGGTCACGGTTGACTGAGGTGGTACAGTCATCAACCAGTTATGTCTACGGTACGTAGGTACTCTCTACATCTATTATCGAATTTCACCCCAAAATAAACGTACAACTTTGCATTAAGGCAAGGTATTTCAACGCGAGCCTAGATTTTAGAAGGTGAGATGCGTGTGTATGTGTGTGTGGGAGGGGGGGCTGCGCCACTGGAGCTTTCTTTTGTTACCACTTAGAATTATAAACATTTAGAGCGATCTATTTCAATATTTTCATTTTTGTACGAAAATAAAAAGACGAATTATTAAATGTCATGGAACAAAAGTTGTTGTTTATGGTGTTACCACAGTTTTACATGAACAGTATTATTAACATAAATAATATAATGGATAGGCACATAAACGAAAACTAAAAAGTGCTGCAAAACATTAAGAGTGTTCCTTTTAATGTTCCAACAGGAAAGCCTAATTTATTTATTTTTATTTATTAATTGCGCTTGAAAGGATACCTGGATATTGACAAAGTATAAGCATTGTCTTATCATGTGTACCAGTTTGTGTTAATCGTATTGTCTTCATTAATTCTTTTATTTACAGTTGAATCATCGTCATTCCCCGCGCACCACGTGCTTCCCATTTCCTTCGCATAACTTGTATGCAATCAAAATGTCAATGTCCACTCGGAAGGCGATTGTTGTTATTTCACCATATCTTGATTACTGTACGATACTCCCATCAAAGGATTTCAATATGCATTGAACTGACATATGTAACAAAGTAAGATAAAGCAACTTTTTTCAATAGTCAACGTGTGCAGGCGGCATCTGCAGGCGAGGCGACGCCGTTAAAGGCAGTGCGCCGCGACCGATGGCCCTGCGGGACACCACTCTCGCGATCACATCGCAGCGCGAGCTGTTTATACGACAATGAAATCACAGGTCAAATTTCAAATCAATATCGATATTGATAAACGTTCCATAGTGTCGGTATCGAAACCATGGTTTCTTCTAACAACAAAGTTGATTGTTTGTTATAATTATAACACAAATAGATATTGAGTATACTTATACCTATATTTTGAAGTAAGTACATTTATACTCACATGAAACAATATATACGTGTGATAAAAATGTATCAAAAATTACAAAGTATCTATTAGTAACGTACTAACTACTTAATTATCAACAACAACATAATTACGTACACCAAAAATCTGACTAACGAGCCGGCGCGCGGCGTTGCGCTCCCTCATGGGTGTCACACCATGTATTAGGAGAAAACCTACCATATAGAAATGCCTATGCCGTCGCAGGCAACAACCTGCTACAAATGACATTTTCCCAACACAGCCAAATAAAAGTAATGCCCACTCGAGAGTTGCGACAAGGGTACATACAGGATCAGACGACAAGCCAGGTTATTCACAACACCGGTACCTACTCCGCGCAACGCCTAGAATTAACGGTTATAGTTCTGGGTTCACTGTTCTGTGGATTACACAGGCATTAAAATATACAATTGGAACAAGCAATTTACGTTCAATATCGTGAGATGAAAAATAAATTGCGTTTCACTTAGTCAAGTGGGTATTTTTGTTAACTTATTGGACTTAATTTCGGACCAGTTCAACACGTGGTTATCAATTGTTACGATTGTTTTTGGAATTCTTGTATGAAATTGCGTCATTTAACTACACAATATCGAGAATTCGACACTCATATGGACAACGCGACTGCTACCAGAGCCGTTACCGTTGATTGGAACCGGTCAAATGCAACGTGCTGTAGCTCTATAGCTAAGATTTTCACGAAAAGCTACTCAAAATCTACTGAACCGGTATCGGGAGACCGGTAGTGCATCTCGACGTCATGGCTAGGGACGAGTTCGTGCTGCCACTGTCCATGAAGACTGTTACGTTAGACTTAGTGCCCGACGTGAACGAACTGTTTTAGTGCGTACTTTACAAAATCGTGTACAGAAGACTACTGTTAC